TTGTCTCCTCTTCTTGTACGTACGGGGTTCAGCTCAGGCGACCCAAGGCCCCGAGACCTCTTGATCCCCCAACCCTTCGAGACCTCCAACATCTCTAATTGCGCCGGACTTTTTGCTGGCTCTTGAAAGCTGGCAACCAGCACTAGCTGCCCCGTCTTCTGTTCAAGACTGAGCTCATACGCTGGCCTCGTCATGCTATGTCATTTCATCGACCCTGAAATTGCGAACTGTCATGCTTTTTGGAGCACCTTTCAAGACAAGGCCCCTTTGTTGGTTTGCCACCCGCGTAGCCTGGAGGAAGCATCGAATTAGACTATGCGGCTACATTGGTCTAATTTTCTGCGGCCTCTATTGCCTCGTGAGATCAGGCCCATTCATGATTCATGACTGCGTACTTGCGTCGTTCAACTACTCGTTCTTTTGTCCTTTCTAGAGCTGTCTGAAGCGTGGAGGCGTCTTGTCTATCTTGGTCCATCGAGAAAGACAATTTGCTCAAGCTTTACGATGGGAAGGCTTTCGACAGTGTCATGGCCATGCAATGCCATCCGGGGTTCAGTTCCCTGATTGGTAAGACAAGAAACAAGTTGTACACACATGCTTGCAAAACAGCCGTATCAACGATCACCGCCGTGTGATACGAAGATGCCTCCGAAGGCACCCTGGCGTGCACGATGAAACAACGGCTAAGCTAGGACCACCAACTGTTTATCAAAGTAAAATCATGTTTCTCAGAGTAAGCCAATACAATACATGCACTGCAAAAACTGAAGGAACGGCCATAGAATAGGCACACACAGAAAAACTAGTGCCACATCGTTTCTTTTTCTTTCACGAGTTATGGTACATTTCCCCAACCAGAACATGGGGTCGGGTCTCGTAACCCGAGCTTTTCCCAAACCGGCCTGGTCATTGTGAGTACGTTTGTCTCGAGTACAAAGTGCTTTACTTGCCCTCCCTGTTTTGTTGGTGAACAGTATTTATTTTCTTTCACGTCGATACCCTCTCTTCATTTATTTTCTATTTTTACAGTTCTCGTCCTACATCTCTTCCTTGGTCCATTGTCTTCCGCTTTTTCCTTCTTCTCCTCACCCACCTCCCTCCGACTCTCACACAATGGCCAGCAACATGACACCGGTCGGCAACTCGCCGCAGGCCCGTGATGCTGCCCGCCGTCTCGAGGCGCCCATCCACTCGGAGCGCCACATCCGCGTCATCTGCGTCGGTGCCGGTGCCTCGGGTCTGTTGTTTGCCTACAAGATGCGGAAGCATTTTACCAACTTCAGCCTGACCATCTACGAGAAGAACCCTGCCGTCGCCGGCACATGGTTTGAGAACCGATATCCTGGGTAGGTGTCTGCGGAGTCAAAGTAACATACCCGCAGTGGGACACGTCTATTAACGCCCAACCAGCTGCGCCTGCGATGTTCCCTCGCACAACTACACGTGGTCGTTTGAGCCCAAGCTCGACTGGCCGGCCGTCTACCCGCCCGCCAAGGACATCTTCGACTACTTTGAGGGCTTTGCCACCAAGTATGATCTGCGCCAGTACGTCAAGCTGCAGCACCAGGTGATTGGCGCGTACTGGGACGCCCAAAAGGGCGGCTACGACGTCAAGGTCAAGGACAACGCGAACGGCGTCGTGGTCAGCGACCACTGCGACATCCTCGTCAATGCCTCCGGCATCCTCAACAACTGGCGCTGGCCCGCCATCCCCGGCCTGGACAAGTACAAGGGCACGCTGCTGCACACGGCCAACTGGGACCCCAACACCGTTCTGGACGGCAAGCACGTCGGCCTAATTGGCAATGGGTGAGTGTCCTTGGCGTTCTATTCCAGTATTTTTTTTTCTTTCTTTCGTCACCGCCGTTCGTCTCACTAACACGACGCCACCATCAGCTCCTCCGGCATTCAGGTCCTGCCTGCCATCCGCGAAAAGTGCAGCAAAGTCACCACCTTCATCCGCGAGCCGACGTGGGTGTCGCCCGTCCAGGGCCTCGAGCAGCACATCTACTCGCCCGAGGAGCGCGCCGAGTTTGCCAACAAGCCGGGCGCGCTGCTCAAGTACCGCAAGGAGATTGAGACGGGCCTCAACGGCCAGTACGGCATCTTCCTCAAAAAGTCCAAGATCAACGAGGACACGCGCGCGTACATGATTGCGCAGATGAAGGAGAAGCTCAACAACGACGCTCTGGCCGAGAAGCTCATCCCCGACTGGTCGGTCGGCTGCCGGCGCCTGACGCCGGGCGTCAACTACCTCGAGTCGCTGACCAAGCCCAACGTCGAGGTCGTGTACGGCGAGATCAGCGCCGTCACCGAAAAGGGCTGCCTCTGCGACAACGGCCAGGAGTACCCGGTGGACGTGCTGATCTGCGCCACGGGCTTCGACACCTCGTTCCGCCCCCGCTTCCCCGTCGTCACGCCGACGGGCGACAACCTGCAGGACACGTGGGCCGTGGACCCGGCGTCGTACTTTGGCGTCGCGGCCGCGGGCGTGCCCAACTACCTCGTGTTCCTGGGCCCCAACTGCCCCATTGGCAACGGCCCCGTGCTGTCGGCCATTGAGGCGCAGGCCGACTGGATGTGCCAGCTCATCGACCGCTACCAGACGACCAACATGGCCACGTTTGCGCCCTCGGCACAGTCCGTGCGTGACTTTGTCGAGTTCAAGGAGTACTACATGCGCCGCACCGTCTGGGCCGACCCCTGCCGCTCGTGGTACAAGCAGCGCCCCGACGGGCCCATCACGGCCCTCTGGCCCGGCAGCACCCTGCACTACATCGAGGCCGTCAAGGAGCTGCGCTTCGACGACTTTGACATTACCTATGCCGGCAACCGTTTCGCCTGGCTCGGCAACGGCTACTCGCAGACCGAGCTCGACGCCACCGCCGACTGGGCCTACTACATCCGCGAGGAGGACGACGGCGCGCCGCTGTCGACGGCCGGCAAGCGCAAGCTGCTGACCAAGAGCGGCACCATCCAATCTCGCAACGCGGTGTCGTGGAGCAGTGGCGGCAGCGAGGGCCAAAGCGACCGTCCGCGCGAGCTGCGTTTGTAAGCTGTGCCGGTGGAAAAGGTGGGCAGTTGAAACTTTGGGAATGCGAGAAGAGACCTACTCTGCATGCGATCCGTTGGCGAGTATTCCACAACTGTACATACTTTGCATTCGACGTTACTTGCCTATGACGTCTTTCTTTGCGTTTGCATATGTTTTCATTGCATTATTTCGTTGCATTATTCGTTGCTTGCTTCTTTCATCTGACTTCTTCCATTATCTCTTTGACCCTTTGCAGCACGAGTTAGATTCACATTCTGTACATATTAGACACACATTAACATAACAAATGTCAAGCAACGTCCAGTCCACTGACCTGTGATTGGTCACCGTCCACAGTTCGACTTTGGGTCAACCCAAGGCCCCAAGACCCGTCATAAATGGAGTCGAGTCGACGTGGTGCAATCCGAGTGGTGTTTTGTAGGAGTCGGCAGCGCGTAGAAAGCCCGTCCAAGCTGTCCACGATCGTGCCTGATGCTAAGAAAGTTTGGTCCTCGCCACCGATGTGCTGTTTATTGAGTCAAATGAGATCAGGTTGGGTTTAGCAAAGAGACGGGACAGCGGGAGAGACGCGATTGGTAGCATAATGTGACAAGGCATCTGGCAGTGGAAAGTGGGCAAGTCGTTTGTCTGCCTGCCCAATTTGGATCAGGCCCAGAGAGGAAGGGACGCACGCGCAACGAGAATCGCTCTTTCTCGACTGAGGCAGCTCTGCCACAACATCATTCGCTCCTTCTTCGTCCAGTCTATTTGACAACGCAACACAATTTTCACCAGTTTCCAGGTGCGGAGTATATTCTATAATTTCTGTACAGTGTGATAACGTATACAATGCAGAGTGCAAGGAGAACGAGTCTGGCTATTCTCGCACATTTATTCTGTCAATAGCACACAGCAGGCCGCCTTACAGACCTGATGCCAGTCAATATCCTCTGTCCCCCAACCAATTCGCTGTGGGTCGACTCTGGACCTATCCTAATGGCCGAATTTGGCAGATTAGGCAAAAAAACCACAAATGCTGTGAGAGAGGGAAGGAGGGATGGAGGGAGTGTCGTCGTCGTGGGCCGGGAATGGCGAAGAGGGCTGCCACGTCGACCCGTGGAGTCAACAAACGATCCAAGGGAAGACTCAGGAAGGACAGACGATCACAGCCATCGAGCATCAACAGACACTCTGGTGCAGGCTGCAATCTGCGCTCTGAAACCAATCCTGCTGACGGCTCCGACTCCATCGTTACCCCCCCTCCATTCGACCTCCCCCATCAGCCTGCTCGACACAATTAGGCAGCCGGAACGGACCAGAAGGCCAAGGATCAATTCAAGTCTCTATCGAGGCATTCCATCGTTGGGCACACCCGCTGTGGCCCAAAAGATGCCAACCAGGCGGCAGAAACTGTTTGTTATTGTGCCAATAGCGACAAACATGTCGAGGACGACGAAACAGGGCGAACGAATTGAGTCAATACGAGTGTGAGCTTGTTTTGTTGTCTCTCTTCGGCCAGCTCTATGACCGCACATGTCGACCAGGTGGACAATGCAAAGAAAGGAGAGTCATAGACAATTGTCGAGTGACCACTCGATCGATCATGTTGATTGGCCGGATCTACCGTCTCATCAAGCAGCGACATCGCCGATGAAAAGAAACCACAGACTGAGAAGCCTCACTTTCGTCCGTTGCGCATCGAGTGACACGACTCCTTACACTTTGGGCATCATAATTGCGCCACTGATAAATATAAAAGATCCTCTGTCCACAGTTGTCGGACGGCCGCTCTATTCATACAAAGACAAACAAGTTAACAAGTCAATATTCCTCATCAACGTTGAGCGGTTTCCAATCTGCTCTCTTTGCCCGTCTCTATCTCAGGCGGTTTCCTTTTCCTTTATTTACACAATTTACACACTATCTAGGGTCCACTTACACACACACACACACCTCTCCCCCCATAATGGTTGCAGACATCGGACCCAATGCCGACCCGACAGACGTCGTCGACGGCCTCGTCGGCGCCATCAAGACCATCGCCGCCGACCCCAACTACAACCTGCTGGCCAACATCTTCAGCGAAGTGCTGCACCTGCGCGCCAAGAATGCCGAGCTCGTCAGCACCAACCGCAACGTCTTTGAGCAGTACTGGGACTTTCGGCGCGAGCTGGAGGACGGCCAGGCTCGCCTCGAGGCTGCCAAGTCACTTGTCGAGGCCGAGCTTGCCGGCAAAGCTCAGGAGCTGACAGACATGACCGAGGCGCGCGACAAGCTCGACACCACCCTCCAGACCACCGCCGCGGAGCTGGCCGACACCACAGGTGCCAAAAAACAACTCGAGGCCGACTTGGCTACGGCCAACACGAAACTCGACTCGCTCAAGACATTCAAAGCATCGCTTGAGAACGAGCTCAGCCAAGTTACGGCCAAGCTCGAGGAGCAGAAACACCTGTCAGACGTGGCCGCCCAAGAAAATGCAGCGCTCCAAGTGTCCCTTGCCCAACGCGAGACCGAACTCGAAAAGACAAAATCCGACCTGGGAGCCACCAATAGCAACCTGCAGGAGCTCACCAAGGAGCGCGACAGCCTCAAGGAGAGCCTCTGCCACACCGAGGCCGATCTTGTAGCCAAGACAGCGTGTCTGGCCGCACTCGACAGCTACCGCGTCGTTCTTCGCAACCAACCCGAAGACGTGTACGTCACCATCCTCGACACGATCTGGACACGCCTGTTCCACTTGGTCGAAGAGCACTTCCGCCAGGACCTCGAAGACAAAGTGCTCAGCGACCCCTCCTGCTGGAAGAACCTGCGCACCGCCGAAGCCCTCAAAGGCCCGACGCAGATCCCCTTGCCCCAGTCCAACTCGCCCGTCGCCAAGGCCATGCGCATCGCCGCCGTCCTGTCCATTCTCTCGCGCACGCTCCACAAGCACATCTTCCGCCCCATTTACCTCATCGAGGACGACGCTGAGCTGACGCGCGTGCTGCACGGCGTCGAGTTTGAGAGCCCGGAACGCGAAGAGCACATCCGCGCCACGCTGCTCGCCACGCTGCCGGACGTGCAGCGCCACAGCGCCAAGGCCCGCGTGCAGCACGTCGTCCGCGAGGTCTCGTGGGTCGTCCAGCACCTGCTCGGCGCCCTGCCGTACGACGCGTTCTGCAGCGGCCTTGGCAGCGCCTGCGCGCTCGCGTGCACCGAGTGGCAAAAAATTCAGACGGCGCGCATGAAGATTGAGCCGTACTTTGGCCCGCCGTACGACGAGTTCGACTGGCAAGCGCTGCCGCTGCCCGAGTTCGAGGGCCGCACGGGCTCACCGCAAACGGGGAGTGGTGCCAACAGCGCGCGGGACGGCTCGCCTGCGCGGGCCGAGGACACGCCCATCATTACGATCGAGGGCGACGACGCGGCCGCGGTTGAGCTGGACGGCACGGCCGTCGGTGCCGATGCCGATGCCACCACCGAGGGAAATGCCCCTGTTGGTGAGGATGCACCACCGACGGCGGAAGACAAGGCCGAAGGTGGACCTGCTGAGGGCAACACGGATGCCGGCGACAACACCGACGCCGCCGCCGATGACACCGCCGTTGCGAATTCCTCCGACAATGACACAGCCATTGCCGACGACGAAGACGACGACGACGACGAGATGGATCCGTCCGACATTCTACTGGTCGTCTGGCCCAGCATGGCCGTCGTCGAGAACGGCGACCACCAGCCCATCACCCAGGGACTGGTCGTCACCAAAGCCCAGGCCGCACTCGCTTTCCAGGAGGTCTACGCCGCTCGCAACACTGGCAACGGCGCGGGCCTCAACAGCAAGCGCGCCCGCACCATGTCCATCCCCTCGTCCATGCCTAAACCGACCTTGGCCAATAGCCGTGACGCCCTGTCGGCCGGCAACAGCCCGCTCCCCAAAAAGGCTTTTTTAGCCGTGGCCGGTGGTGGCGAGGAGGCCGTGTCGTCCGCTGGCTGAGCAGCGTCCTATCGGCCTCTGACTCTACGTGACCGCGGTCGCCACCACAGGAGACATGACTACTATCTGTCCTATCATTACATCTCTTTCTAGTTTTCCTTTGTGGTCATCACTCGGTACCTGGTTTCCTTTGTTTCGGGTTATTTATGGGACTATCATGGACATGGTATGCATTGCTGGTGTTCGTCTGTGGTTTGTCAAATTTCGATTTAAATTGTACTCATATCACCGTAGTTTAATGATAGAGGTATAGGAGAATGCATTTGTCTGGAGAAATTTTATGTTTTCTTTCAAATAAAAAACCTTTTAGATTTCACTCAACTGGGAAAGTAAAAATAAACTAGAAACAAAAAAAAAAACCATTGTTTGTGTATAAATAAATCAGAAGCAACTCTAGGCAATATATGAAACGCCATCTTATGCAGAACCATGCTCAACACAACCAGTGACATACTTTCTCCATCAAAGCAACAACTTATTCCAATCGTTTCCTCCACTCGTCATTCAATCATACCTCTCCAAGTCTCTGTCTACCACAGAATCACCTTTTGCGGGAAGAACTCGTCAATCAGCTCCAGGTAGTACGGCTTCAGGTCCTCGACGCTCGGCACGTCGTCGCTCTTGCTGTAGAGGTCGTATGGGTTGAACGCCCGGACCGCCTCCAGCATGGCGTGGTCCTTGGCGCACATGAGCTGGCGGTACGCGCCCTCCTTGTGCCACGGGTAGAAGGAGTGGTAGCGGATCATGGCCAGGCTCTCGGCCGGCAGCAGGCTCTGCTCCTTGACGACGTGGTACAGGTACTCGTCGTGGCCCCACGAGAGCATGACGTTGTCGAGGCCGCAGCCCGGCGAGTAGATGCCAAACTCGGTACTGTAGACGGGGTGGGCGGCGTCCGGGTTGGCGGCAAACGAGTCCGCGTAGATAATGCGCTCGCGGTCAAAGGCACAGCCCACGGGGAAGGTGTCGCCGACGACGTCCCACTGGCCCTCGGCGTCGTAAAAGTAGAGCAGCTTGCCGAGGTCATGGATGAGGCCGGTGAGCTGCATCCAGCGGGGCTTGCCGTCGCGGCGGATGGCCTCGGCGCTCTGCAGCAGGTGTTGGATCTGGCTCAGCTCCGTGTCCGGGTCGGACGCGTCAATGAGCGTGTTGAGCTTCTCCATGGCCTCCCATATGGTCATGGCCTCGCGCGTCCGGGAGGCGGCGTGGTAGCGCGCGCGTGCCTTGAGGTTGTAGGCGACCGTCTGCTTCTCGTGCTGCTCGCGGTAAAAGGCCTTGACGCGGTCGCAGGCGTCGTCGTACTGGCGGAACTGGGTCTTGTCCTTGTCCTGGTCAAACACGGACTCCTCGTTGTAGGCCGGTTGCTGGTTTGTGCTTGTGCTTGTCTTTGCCTTTGTGGCGGTGCGTTTGTCCTTCAACACGTTGACCTCGTCGATGGCATCGGAAATATCCTCAAGGGCCCGGCCGGACTTGGCGGCGCTGACGACCGGGACGCTGACGTCCTTGTCGTCGTAGATGGCAGCGGGAGCCATTGTGCAATGTGTTTACGAAGATGAAGGGTGTTGCTGGAACAAATAAGAACAACGTTCCCAAGGACGATCAAGAAGCGGACGAAGGACGAGGAAAGTAGATGAGAGAAAGAGCGAAACGGAACACGGGTACTGAATAAATATCCCAGATGGATCTTGCTCTGATTGTGGGCTCTGTCCAATGCTGCACGAGAAGGAGAAAAAGCAACGAAAAAAAGGCAACGTCCGCTTGAGAATCGTGCCACGGGCCGCAGGAAGGATACAAGACCGTTCTGAAAAAGGAAATATCTTTGGAACAGACGTGGAGTACTGGAAAGGAGTTGAAGGAACGGAAATAAAGAAGGGATCTGGAATAAGAAAAGGGACAAAAAAATAGACAGACGAGAGAGCAAAAGACAGGAAGCGGGAGAGAACGAAGTAGACGTAAGAGATTCGCAATCAAGATGCGGGTTTCCGCAGTAAGAGAAGGAAAACGGACCCAGCAACGGTTGGAAATTTCCTGTTATGGACACGACTAACACAGTCATTTTGTTTCTCTCTTTACCCATTCCTGGCTTGGTCAGACGGGGGGGCGTGTGTGTACAACCCCAGAATGGTCATAGCTGCCGAAGCTGACCGCATTATGTGGATCAGCACCGGCACCAAAACCGGCCCGGAAGGACACCATTGGGGGCGGACGACCGTGAAGAACGGTTGATGATTTCATGGGCCCCAGTTTTCACGCTGCTTCTTGTTTCGTTTGCCGCTATTCTGGGCCGGCAAGTAAGCAAGTCTTGGACGAGAGTATTTCGCCTACTTCGTCCGAAACAAATGGTCTTGGGGCAGCTCTGCGAGAGAGAAGAAACAGTCAGATCCATACGGCCCACCATTGTTACAGGGTTAATGCTGACTTTGCCAAAGCTAAGGCACGTTTTTTTCGTTTATGTTATTTTCTCATTTTCTTCTCATTATGGTCATCTGTAACGCAAAAGTGAACTTTGTAGACGCCCATTGGAAAGAAACGCTAAAGAGACCGCGGGAGATGACAGGGAAGAGAGGGGGGGGGGGGGAGGGTGCATGTTTTTGCCCTCGGTGATGACGTGCAACTTGGTGATCGGTCGCGAGACGCGGCGGTTTTCACCTGCTTTCTGGTGGGCTGGTGTCCTTTTACGGCAGTGCAGAGTTAGCTTCCGCGCTCGGGGCATCCTTTGGTGTCACTAGCAGGCTGGGTTCGGAATTTGCATCTAGAAGCGGACAGCGTACAGCAAGAATGTCCACTGGGACTTGATCCTCTCATGGAAAGAAGTAAAAATCCGCGACTGCAGGTCCGTTGGTGTCCCATTAAAGAATAAAAGAATAAGAAAATACTTCGTAAGAGCCACAAAACGCCAGCACCACGAGACCACAAAATCGACTCCATTTTGTGGTCTCCATATGTCAAAGTCCATTTCTATGTCGTATCCCGTTTCCGTTTCCTTTTCAGTTACCACTGACCCATGCTTTATCCCGTGTCTAGTATCCCATCGAAGCGACCGAATGCAGAAGCCCCGTAACGCCCCGTGCCAATTGTGTCTCGTGCTCACCATTCCATAATCTATTGCTGTGTTTTCTTCCTTTGTTTTTGTTACTATAGTTTGTGTTTCACAGCTGGTTCAGGTCATTTGACTCGTGTCCCAGCCCCACGACCGCATCAGCTGCTGTTGGACTGCTTCTGTCGGCCGGGCATGGTCTTTTTCTGTGCGTCGCAGCATGTCGAGAAGGGCTTCTTGGTCTCGTCGTTCATGGAAGCGGTCGCCGACTAAAAACATACCAGAAAGGTTAGCCGTGGGTAGGGACGGATGTAGCGGCACAGAGAGGAGCAGGTAAGAACGTACAGGCTGTGATGGCCATGCAGGCTGTGAACATGCCGGGTGGCGTCCATTGGTTGCCCAGACCGATACCGCAGACTTCGCGCACCAGCGCGCAAACACGGTCGTTAACGTTTTTGGCGGCCTCGAGGCGCTGACGGCCGATACGCGGGATCTTGGGGTCGAAGCTGACGAGGAACAGCTCGGCCAGGATGTGGTGCTGCAGGCCCGTGACGTGCCAGCTCGAGTGGTGCCAGATCTCGGGGAATGCATCGCCAGGCCCGCGCTCTTTGAAGTAGGTGGGTGTAAACGAGTCCGGTAGCCGCGCCGACCACTGCTTGTTCCAGCTGCTCAACTCATCCCAGGAAAACCGCGGGGACAAGGTGGATACCGTCTCACCGAAGCAAAAGTTGAGCACATCGACGCAGTGGATCACCGCACGGTTGGCCCAGTCATGGTCTTCAGCCGGGCTAAGACCACGTGCACTGTCGGCGAGAGACAGTACGAGAGGTGCCTTGACGGGCTGCTGGTTGATGGTCGCAGTATAAATCTCCTGGCGCAGCCCGACCCAGAATGCTGCAGCACTGAGCGTGTTCGGCACAATTTTGTGGCCATGCCCATGGACGAATGCGTGGATGCCTAGGAGATAGCCTTGAGAGTCAAAACCCGAATGTTTGACTTGTTAGGTTAGTACAAGAGCGGCAAACGGCACGCTACAGAGACTACGGTTCCCACCAACGGACGGTTGACATACACTCCATCTCCTCCCAAACGCGAAGGATGATTGTGGCAGCAAACAGATTCTCGTCGGCAGCAGTGTCCTCGTGGCTTAGCATAGGAATGAGGACATTGAGGCATTCCTGGTGGTAGCGGTCCGAGGCATAGCGGTCAAAGTTGCCGATATGGGCAAGGTGCTTGGAAGAGAGGGCCAGGATGGCGTTCAAGAGAACGGTGCACGTCGCTGCACGCTTGGGAACAATGGTGCCGAACTGCTGTGCCGGCTCACAAAGGTCGAGCTACAGAATGAGTCAGTGGCTGTCTCAGAAATGACAGAAAAACAAGCGAACTTTTCTGACCCGTAAACATACCCAGATCGCTAGATTCTGTACGAAATGGCGAAGAAGAATAGCCTGCTGCTTGTCTTGCAGCGGAAATACAGACTTCTCTGTGTATATGTTAGGATGGGCCGCACGGTCCGCGGCTGTCAACGTCAGAGGCGGGTGGATCGGTGGCATCAACTCGTCATGTACAATAAACCGGTCCGTTGGAGACCGCGGTGAGCCACCACTCGCGGATAGACGGTGATGATGTGACACGTGTTGTGGAGAGGCCTGCGAAGTGGATTGTGCCGTGCTACGCATTTCTTGCCGTGCGGAAACAAAAGTGTACGTCTCGGTAGGGCTAAATGAGAGAGGGGGTGGCGGCTGTTGACTCTGCTGTGAAGGCTGTTGTGAAGTCTGCCGAGCAGCTTGTTGAGAAGCTGCTCTCACCCGCCGCATCGATTGTCTACGCCCATTCGTCAGGGGAACACGAGGCCGTGACGAGGCGGTCGTTGAGCGCGTTGTGTTGTGAGACACCTCTTCCGGAGAGTCTGGGCTGTGTGATTCATCTGGCGGTGAGGGATTTTGCGTACGTGCGGCAAGCCGAGTGGCTTGCGGCCGCCGAGAGGGTGGAGGAGGAGGAGCAGGCGGCTCCTCGTCGTCGTCCTCATCACTGTAGAACTCGGCATCACCAGTGACGCCATCTGCAACAAAGTCGACTGTATGATGGGTGGATAAATTTGTTAGTTTCTACTTCGTGCTGGGGGGGGGGTTTCCTCTCATAGAGTGCTTACGACGTCTTGGTATCCTGACCCATTGCTGCCGTCGGGTGAATGGACCTGTTTGGGACGAGAAAGACGACTCTTGTCAGCCTCGTGGAACAATTCGAGTATCCTGGTTAACCGGTCATTGGTCATTGGTGCATACCTGATTTGACTCTAAACTTGTATCCTCGCGTGCAGGCCTTTGACGTCGCTGCACACCGACCACAAGCAGGGAGAGCACGATCACCTGCATGAACTCGTCAGTCATCGAAGAACCATGTCTGACATCGGACAAATCTAGAGATATTTGGCTGGAAGAAGGAGTTTATCCCGTGTGTATTTGACAGGGAGCAGGGATGCGAAAAGGACCTGATCTAGCGAGAGTCGCTGGCTTGGTTACGTGGGGAGTGAAGGTCATGTCAGGAGAAGGATGACGAAGGGAAAGAGAGTCAGTCAGGCACAGTCGGCCTCTGTTGGTGTGGGGTTGGGCTGGGTTGGAAAATGAGACCAAAAAGTCTTGGTATGAACGAGACTGTCAAGGCAAGCAAAGAATCGGACAGGATGGCAACAGAGGGCACGGATGCAAATTGCTTAAGAAGGGAGTGGAAACCTCCGGCAAGTGACATATTTGCTTACACTTGAGATGCTGTTCACGACAAGACTCGCTGTGGAAAGTCAGTAGAGCGTTCGATAGAGCATTTTGGAGTGCAGTCGATGTCGATGGAGTCAAAAATGGGACAGGGAGCCAAAGCTGATGTGGGGAAGACAGGCTGTAACGATGCTGGAGAAACTTACCAACCAAAGGGCGCTGTCAGAGGAGTCTCGGACGGCAGAGAGGTATGCGAAGGCATCGCTCACGCACGGGAGGCCGTGTGCGTAGTGTAGAAAAGGACCGTCGAGGGTTGGCAAAGAGGCGAGATTTGGGTAGAAGAGGAAATGTTGCAGAATAAAAGCCAGAATAGTAAAAAAATGCCGACAGGCGAGACGGCGGGACAGCGAGATTAAAAGGGGGAAAATCCGCGAAGAGCGTCTAAACGCGGGAGCTAGCGAAATACGCGTGGAAGCTTTTCATGGAAAAGATGTCCGATGCCCAAAGAAAAGAAGAGGGCATAGGGTGGCATATGGGACACTAACGAATGGAGAACATGTTGAGAAGCAAAATACTGAACGAATGTTCAAGCGGGACGAGAAGAAACAGGGAGATACAGAGAACCGGCAACGGAATACGACAAGATTTATGGAGTGCAGAAAAGGGAGAAATTGTGCCAAAAAAAATACAATGAGCTCAAAGGCGTGACAGCGCACTGATGATGCACTATGCTGGCTATGTGGTATAGGGTGTCAAGGTGAGTGAATCATAACTGAGATCAAAATGAAGGGAGAGGGACGGATGCAGGCCCGTCAAAACTGAGATGGTGACGCCGAAGTTGGAAATCGAATAAATTGTCGAATTGCAGGGATTTTTGATTTGTGGGCAAACGGCTGATATGTGGACGACACGAAGTATGGAGTAGAGCAGAAAGAAAAGTCAAACAGGCAGTCTCCGATTGGGTCTCTGGGACACAAACGAGAACACAAAGATCTGGGGGCGTCTGGGGAAGCAGAGGACAGGGGAGAGGGGATACGTAAGATGAGTAAAGGAAAGTTTGCGAGAGCATGGAAAAGGCGATGCATGGCAAACGAAGAGAGGACGGACGAGAGGAGAGGAGCAATGTGGGTGGAGTCGGGCCAGAGAGATGCAGGGTGGGGGCCAGGGGCTCCAGTGCGCCTTCCTCGTCTAACTGCAATGACTTCGTTCACGTCCGGGTGTCATGCCGAGCTGCGATGTTGGTAAAAGGGTCATGATGACCTAGAACGAGAGAGGAAGGGGCGAGCTGCCTATGCTGGGTCGTAACTGCTTGTCAGGGCGATTGTGCCTAGTGCGGCAGGTACGACAACCAACTAGTGTAGGAAGCTCTCGATGTGAACGAGGGCAGGTGCAGCTCTCCCCCTCGACTTTCCCTCAAGCCCCTCGTTGTCGAGAGCATCGTCGGGGAGCGGCGGCTGTGGCTCTTGGCCATGCCGCGCTGGCTTTTTGTCACGCACACGTCAGGACTCGTGCGTCCACAGATTTCACAGACATTGCAAGATCTCCCGCCGTAGCACGTCGTTGAGGCGAGTCTGGGGTGATGGCGTCCATGCTTGACACGCCGTGAGGAAGAGGCGCCTGCCGTTTATGGAGTATTTATACTGCAGCACGGCGAAGAGTCAAGAAGGCAGGAGCGAGCAGAGCCTTGGAATGCGCGTCACACCTCGGTAGCCGCGCCTTGTCATGGACAGCGAGGTTAAGTAGACGTAGGACCAGCACAACAAAATCGGTCATTCTCCGTCACGTTTGCTAGGTGACACCATCATGAGTCGGGAAGAGACACCCCCAAGGCATTGGTGGGCTCTCTCTGGCCCTGCGGGTACCCCTGACGCTCGTACTTCCATTCTGCTTTGTTGCGAGATGACGTGTGGACGCATGTACGATGTCCTCAATGCCAATAAAGCAGCCTTGCCAGCTTCGATTGCCAGTCTCCTTACGATCGCATCCCTTTGGCTCTCTCATCACTACTTTGCTTACCTTGTATTGTCTCCACGCCTCACCGAGTCGCTTAGCATCACAGCCGAGACGTCGTCTGCCTCGCTCCCTCCGGTTGCCGACCATGGCAACTATCGTCGTCCACTCGACACTACCCACCTTCAGGATGCCGACCGTCAGAGACTGGCCGTTGCTCGCGCGGTTTGCGCCAGTTTGATGCCGCTAGGCAATGCACCGGCCAATCACGGCGATACAAATGTTTGTTGGCGGGTCGAGGAAAGATGGTGCACCGGCAAAGGTTCGGGCATTTCCCTTGCTGGATCTTACTACGGCTTTGGTCAATTTTCTGCCGCGTTTTTCACTTTCTTTTGTGCTATGTGGTGCTCTGCGAAGGAGCGGACTGCCTTTTTGCGCCTAGTGGCAACAGAGCAGTCTTGGCGTCGCTGTACCTTGGCTGACTTAACGATGTACTTGATCTGCTATGCGCTGGGTTGTATGTGCGTTCGCGGCATTTGTTGTGACTTCTCAACAGGCTAGTTGTGACCGTTCTGTTTCCAGTTTTTTCGATTGTCCCAAGCCACCGGGGGCTTCTTCGCGATAAACAATGACAAGAAAAAAAAATGGAGACGAAATGAAAACGAAGAAAAGAACAAAAAGAAGAATGGAAAAAAAAAATTAAGGGGAACTTGCAAAAACTGGAGACCAAATCGCACGCCCCCGTCGTTGTCAACAGACGAGGCAATTCTCGCGAGTTTTCACCTTTTTCAAACATCTCCATCCCATCTTTCTTTGCAAGCCCATTCAGACACCAAGCGAACTGTTTCGCCTTGCGGCTACACCCTCCCCTGCCCCGACCCTCTCCCTTCCCCGGCTTCGTTCTTCTCTAGTCTTGGTTGCCTTTGGTCTCCTCAATCTTTGGTTTCTCCGCATTGTCACGTTTTGACTTGCGGGACATCGCACAAGGAGCATAGGGTGGCACTGGAGGGACCAAACCCCAGGTGCGGTCACAAGGACAAGCGACGATCGTTACTCCATCTCCTCAAAGTACGGGGACGTCCAAAGTGCGGAGTAAACAGCGGGTGCATGTTGTCTTACGCTACACCACACAGAATCGTTTTTTTTTGTGTCTCCGTATCGGCGTGACCGTGTTGTTGAGGCCTTGGACGTGGTGGTATTTAATTCATACTTGAGCTTATCGGTGCCCACACCTCCTCCGTTCTCTACCGCGATCTTCACAGTCTGTCTCACGCAGCTCATTATCCTTGGACAGTAGTTCATTTGTGTGCTTTTACGCGCAATCCGCGTCTTTGTCTTGTCGTCTCCCTACTTTCCTCAGCTCTTCGATTCCGTGTCCCACGCAGTCGACCATCCACAAACATGTCCCACATACCGGAGACCGGCGCGTCGGCCGCCGGCCCGGCGGAGCCCACCAAGGAAGACATCATGGCCGCTGACGGCTTGGCGCAGGATGACCAGGACATGGCGGACACCAAAGCGGCCAACACGGTCGTCGGGTTCGCCAAGTCGGCGGCCGAGACGGAGCACAAGATGACCCTGCTCGAGGGCGTCCGGCTGTACCCCAAGGCGATTGCGTGGAGCATGCTCATCAGCACGTGCATTGTCATGGAGGGCTACGACGTGTGCCTGATCAACAACTTTTACGCGTTCGACCAGTTCAACCGCAAGTATGGCACGCAGCTGGCCGACGGCACGTACCAGGTCTCGGCGGCCTGGCAGAGCGGCCTGAGCAACGGCGCCAACTGCGGCGAGCTGATCGGCCTGCTGCTCAACGGCTGGATCTCGGAGCGCTTTGGCTACCGCTACACGGTCATTGGCTGTCTCGTGCTCGTCACGGCCTGGATCTCCATCTTCTTCACGGCCAAGAACACGGCGGCGCTGCTCGTGGCCGAGATCCTGTGCGGCATCCCCTGGGGCGTGTTCCAGACGCTGACCATTACGTATGCGTCCGAAGTGTGCCCCGTGGCGCTGCGCGGCCACCTGACGACGTACGTCAACGCGTGCTGGGGCATCGGGCAGCTGATTGGCATCGGCGTGATCATGGGCGTGCTGGACCGCACGGACCAGTGGGCGTACCGCCTGCCGTACGCGCTGCAGTGGATGTGGCCGGTGCCGCTGATGGTGGCCATCTTCTTCGCGCCCGAGTCGCCCTGGTGGCTGGTGCGCCGCGGCCGCATTGAGGACGCCAAGCGGGCGCTGCTGCGGCTGACGTCCAAAAAGGTGCGCGAGGGCCGGCAGGCGGGCGGCGATCCCACCAACCCGGACGCCGAGCGCTTCGACCCAGACGCCACGATTGCCATGATGGTGCACACGACGGCGCTCGAGGCCAACGCGACCAAGGGCGCGAGCTACCTCGACTGCTTCCGCGGCCACGACCTGCGCCGCACCGAGATTGTCTGCATGGTCTGGGCCATCCAGAACCTGAGCGGCAATTCCTTTTCCAACTACTCGACGTACTTCCTCGAGCAGGCCGGCCTGACGTCGCGCAAGGCCTACGGCTTCGCGCTCGGCCAGTACGCGTTCAATGTCGTGGGCGTCATTGGCGCCTGGTTCTTGATGTCCTGGGGCATCGGCCGCCGCTCGCTCTACCTCTACGGTCTCTGCGGCCTCTGCACGATGCTGTTCATCATGGGCTTCCTCGGTCTGGTGCCCGCGTCCCACCGCGACCAGAGCTCCATCGCCACCGGCAGCATCATGCTCGGCTGGGCGCTCTGCTACCAGCTGTCCGTCGGCACCGTCTGCTATTCGCTCGTCGCCGAGATCTCCACCCGCCGCCTGCAGATCAAGACGGTCGTCCTCGGCCGCGTCCTCTACATCATCGTCGGCATCGTCTGCAGCGTCCTGACGCCCTACATGCTCAACCCGAGCGCCTGGAACTGGCAAAACTATGCCGGCTTCTTCTGGGCGGGCATCTGCTTCCTCTGCATCATCTACACCTACTTCCGCGTCCCCGAGCCGACAGGCCGCTCGTTTGCCGAGCTCGACGTGCTCTTTGAGCAGGGCGTCAGCGCCCGCAAGTTCACCACCACCGAGGTCGACGTCTTCTCGCGCAGCATGAACGTCGACGTCCTGCGCAACTACAAGGAGCAGACCGTCGACCACGTTGAGCGGCGGTCAGCGGCAGAGGCCTAAGGGAAGAGGGGGGTAATCACACCGGCCTGAGGAAAGCGGGTGGAGGACAGCTGCACCACAAAGGGAAGGGGCCACCAGACCACACTGGCCATGAACTAGGAAAGAGCGCGCTGCCAAGACCCAGATGCGGAAGGAAGTAGGAGGGCCAGATCACTAATACCACAACACAGAACAGTTGGGTCTCGACGAGGAAGGAGCGATTGGTGTCTGTTTTTGTTTTGACGTTTTCGGGAGCAAGTGCCAGTTTTCATACTGTGCAATGCCCTCGCCTGTACATATCTCCTATATATTAATGCATACGAATACACACGATCATACACACTCCCTTTGCACAAGATGCACAGCTGCCTCAATAGAGTGGCATGCTGGCATGAAGGTCGACAGTCAATGAGGTGGCATCGCGTCGCCAATTGACAGAATATTGTATAGCGTCCGCGTTGAATGAAAGCCATCAATGGAAGGCCAGCATGCAGCTGTCAGTAACTGCAGCCATAGCCCACACAATGCTATGATATACTGTGCCACTGTGCTCCGGCCAACAGTCGCCTGGTGGGCCTAGAAAAGGAAAACAACTGTCGTTGGCTCAGCCAGTGGGTGCTGCCCCTCTGCTTTTCCTGACCTTTGCTTCAGCCTTTAAAAACATTACTTTTTCACACTTTTTTCTCCACGTCTCGTCTTCACTTTATCTCCTCTACCTAATATCCAACGCGTCGCCTCGTCGCCCCCATAGCTCTCCTATTTCTTCTTGGCCACAGTCAACCTTCCAAAGTTATGATCAACACTATACGAACTTGTTCACGCGAGGCGGTAGAGACGGCGGGGCGTCGTCACTCCGCCTCCTCTGCTCATCTGGGGTCTTTGTTGATTCTCCTCGGTCTCTCGTAGGCCGAATGGACTTGTGTCAGTCGTTTGACGAACGCGCACACCCGGTTCCCACTCTATGGTTCCCAGCCTGTCGCCGCTTTGGGACGTGCCTACCCATCCATGACAGATGGATCCCGTGGGCTGAATGGTAAGCGTCGTTGACAGCGAACGTCTTTTCGTCTTTTGCATTTTTGTATCGACGCCTCGCAATCGCTTCGCGTCGTGCACAAATACGCGGCTGACCGACTCCAACATCCATAGACCCAAAAGTATGCAGTCCCCAGTGTCCCGCCGATCCGATGGGGGCCGGCGGTCGGGTCTGTTGCTTCAGACTCCCGTCGGAGGGATATGCGTCATTTTGAAGCACACAGCAGTGGTCGGTTCCTTGCCCAGAGGCAGAGGCAGTCTGTCTCGACTGCGTTGGCAAAAACGGGCTCTCAAAGCTGACAAAGTAGTCTCGGGTTTCCACCGTTATGGTACCGGCCGCCGCGAAGAAAGATATGCTGAGAGAGAGATATGACGGTTGGTATCGATGACCGGACAACGTGACGATGGCGACTTTTTGATCAGAGCTATAGATTGGAGACGCAAAAGGCCAAGATGGCAGTCCGTCGCATCTCTCTCTCATCGTATCTTTCTTTTACTACTTTCTTTACTACTAGCATTTCTTCGCAGGCAAAGCGGCGCCGCTACGTCCGTGGTCGCTCTCGTCCGGGCGAGCAGAATGATATTATATTCCTTTATGCGGCTCATGAAACGGGTCCAGAGTCCAGGCTTTAGGGATGTGGTACGGTCGGCGATCGACCACGTCCCTGGAGTCTGGATTCTGGTGCCCGGACCAAAGGCCGAGTTTCATAAGGAGAGAGGTGGAGGAGGAGGGGGAGGGGGAGGGGGAGGGGAAGGGGAAGGGGGCGTGGGAGACTTGTCTCGCGGTATGGACCACCTCCGTATGGTGGTGGCCTGGTGGTCGTCAGAAAGGCATCAGGTATCCAGCGTCGAACACGTGTCGATGCGGAGTGTGGAGGCTGGATGGAAGTGACTTGCAAAATGTGTGGGTTACTCCGTAGAAAGCTTTTGTTTTCCATGCGCTTTCCCCTGTCGAAGCAGCCCATTATGTACAATAGAATGCAACGCATGTTTCCATTACCATCTGTGTGTTGCCTCCAATGCACTTTATACGACGTCACCACTCCCGCTTTGGTATCTCCTAACGTCAATCGTAGACTCATAATACATTGTACATCCGTCACCTTTCTCTCTCGTCATCTCGCTTCGCCGCCCCGTCGCTCTCTTGTCATCCCTTCATGCCTTGGCGTGCGCGCCGTGAAAGCCAAAGCCAATGGCAAAGCCCACCTCGGCGCGCCCCGTCTCGGCCATGGTGCGCGCATCCAGACACAGCAGGTAGCTCTTGCTGGCCGTGCCGTCCAGCACCACCGACAGCAGGACGCCGTCGTCCTCGCCAGTGGCGTCGTCTGTGGCATCCGGGTTGCCGATAAAGACAGCCTCTCCCGGCGTGTGGCCCGGAGGCGCGTGCCACAGCAGCGCCGCCCGGGTCTCGGTGTCCGTCTTGCACAGCGCGTCCGCCAGAGTTGAGCGGCCCTGGCTGGCGACGCTGTAGACGAACCGGTGGCGGCGCGTGGCATACTTTGGGTTGATGGTGGGGAGCTCGCCCGCATGCGGGCCGGCAACGGCCCAGTCTTGTGTGGCGGCTGTGACGGGGACGGCAGTACTGCCCGACGACGACGACGACGGCAACTTTAGACGATACCGCGACAGCGAGGGGGTAACACTGGCAGCACGGACGGGGTCGTTGTAAAAGTCGACAGCGGCATTGTTGCGGTTGAGAAGCACGTCGTAGTAGAGGGCGTGGATGATGTCGGACGTGGGATAGTCAATCACGTCGCACACGATGCAGTTGGCCTCCTCGTCCTCAAAGGAGTTCACGCTGTGGAAGAAGAAGCCGGCCGGACTGTCAAACTCGGCCACCACGCCCTTGCCGTCGGGCTGCCGGTCGACCACGATCCAGCGCGTCTTGTTGGCCGCGCTAAACGGCTCCAGACCGTCCAGGATGTTGCGCTCCCACAGTATCTTGAGGCCGTTCTGCGCGACATGCGTGCAGGGGATGCAGAGCACGACGTAGTGGGTGGTCAAGAAGAAGGAGTGGATGTACGCCGGTCTGGCGCCGCTGGTGTAGCTTTTGTTGCCGTTGCCACCCCCCGACGTCGACCCAGGCGCACTGGCAGGCCCGTGGCGGCAGCGGATGGTCGCGAGAATGTCTGTCTTGCCGGTGGCCTGGGACACGCGAAAGACACGGTAGGTGGGCGAGGGGCCCAGGTCCAGATTGAAGTTGAAAAAGTCGCCCGTGACGGGGTCGCGCTGGGCGTGCGCGGACGACATGGCGCCCTTGAGGTCCGGGTGCAGCGTCTCCTGGTTGGCGACGCCAATGGGCTCGAGCGTCGCCGGGTCGACGCGGCGCATGATGTTGACGTCGGTGGTGATCCAGACGGAGTCGGGCAGGTTGGCACTGCGGTGGCCTGCGGCGGGTGGTGCGGCGGGTGGTGCGGTTGGCCGCTGGACGTCGCCGTCCTTGGCGGCTTCGACCGACGGCACGACAGCCATCGACCGCCGGTCGGCAGCCTTGGCCGCAGCAGGACGGTCGGCCTGCAGGCCCGGCACGTCGAGGTGCACGACGACATTGACATTCTCCGAGTCCTTCAAACGCGTGTTCCGGCGCAGCGCAGCAGCCTTGAAGGTCGACATGAACTTGCCGAGCAGGCCGATGCAGGGGTCGGCGCGCTGGGCGAACGTGACTATTTTAGCAGCGCCCTGTTCCTGCATGAGACGCATGCGGGCCTCGGACTGGCGCCGGGAGGAGTAGAAGACGGACACCGTCCCGGGTGTTGCCTCGTCGGGCACAATCTCAAACCGATGGGTGTGGGCCAGGCCGTCGAACCAGTGGCTGATGTAGTGCGTGCCTTTGGGTGTGCCCTCGACCTTCATCATGCCCGGTCCGGTGCGGTACAGACTGCCGGCGGCATACGCGGGAATGGTCCCGACGACGGGGATCTCGATGGGACCTCGTTCTTCGCGGAGGCCGTCAAACTACACTGTTAGCTGTGAACCAGCGACGACATTGTCGTGGCAAGAACGACCGAAAGAGCACATACCCCCGCCTCATTGGGCCAGTCTGTAAAGGCATGGTCTTGGACACGCTTGAGGGTCTCGGTATGGTCCGTCTTCTCGTCGGCGACTGTGCGGTAGCCCGGCAGCGGTGGCGGAAGGACAACAGCCTTGGCCGGCAAGGCGACTGGTACGGAGCCCATGGGTGGAGGAGACAAAAGTCGGCGAAATACAGCAGGGACTCTGAAAAGACGTTGCATGTACGACGTATGCTGTGCACTTGTGACCGAGACGTGTCTTGGTGACGCAATGCGGGTTCAGATGCAGATGCACGTCTCGCGGAGAAAAGGAGAATAGGAGAATTGGAGAATGGGAGGAATGGTGCAGACAATAACAGCGAGACACAGCTCAGTATGTATTAAAGGGGGGGAGTAGAGTACCAAGGAGGAAGGTGCAACGGTCAGAGTAGAAGAATGAATAGGGGCCAGAAACGAGCAACAGGTGTAAACAAATTAAGAAGGTATGAGGCGTGTTTGTGCTTCAATACTGTGAGACAATTCGATGCAGCCCGGTCTGGGGGGGGGTTCCGTATTTATATCCGGATGAGGACAATACGTAGAAGACATACGGTGCGAAAGGAAATATAGAGGACGAGAAAAATTAAATAATACATTCCCCAGCGCCACGGTGGCACCAGTGCATACAGCTACATCCCTGCTGACGCTTGTGTGGGAACAAAAGAAAAGAAGGCCCCTCAAACATACAGCTACGGAGAGCGTGGCATAAAATGGCCGGTTTCCAGGCCGAGTAAGGCTGCAGTTGAGCAGTTGAGCTAGATGGAAAGAGTATGTATCACGAAAAGGACACCCAAGACGGACATAAACAAATCTCGGAGGGATTTCATAACTGCAAAAGGAGTCACGAGAAAGCAAAGCTTCGACAGAAACGGGCGACGGATCTCTGGAAATATGGAGTCATGAATTGGGCCGAGCGTCCCGGTATGGGAGAACTTGGAAATGTTGCAAATACGGGAAAAAGACTGGATCGTGATATTATCAAACCATAGATGGCCTGTCCGTGATGCTAAAACGGGACGGATGGTGGAAAAGCCCAGCAGACCGCCGCCGAGAGCCAAGGATGCGGTTCAGACTGGCTATTCGTTTGTTGCTATTGCAAGCAACAGCCCTGTGATAGCCGCCAAGGCTATGCTTGTCGTCGTCTTCGTCTTCGTCGTCTTCGTCGTCGTTATCGGTTTCCTTCTTACCAACGACAAGCGAATGCGAGGCGGGGACGGAGACGGATGAAAGACAATGCCATTGGCAAAACGATGGATGCGGAACGAAGGATGGAGGCAGAGCCTAACCAGAGTGGGGAGAGAGTAGGACATGGGGAGGAGGACAGACATTGAGAATACCCGATGCGGCGTGCCTACACAGTAGTCAATGTGGGAAAGGGTAGATGAAGCCATGGCCGCACGAAACAGCCTCAACAGGGACCACACATTGCTCGTCGTTTGCCTGGATCGCCGCCGGGACCGTCATCTTTCCCACGTTCACGCTGCATCCTTCTGCCACCACTCACCCACACCCTCATCCGCGCTCTCTCCACTTTATGCAGGTGCTCGCCTGTCTTGCCCGTTTCGAGTAATCGTCCCAGATTGGAAGCCCTCCTTTTCTTCTGGTTCTAGGGTTGGGCCCATCCATCTTCGTCCCCACACTATCTCGAGACGACTTGGCAGAGGGTGCCTGGAAAGGGAGTCTTTGACAGAATAATTCGTACTGTTCGCAAAGACTGCCATTCCCTCCATGGTCCAGGATCAGCGTCCAAAATCCATCAGCAACGGCCGGTAACCAGTAGTGCATGGCTCCTATTCGCCCGTTCGCTTGTGTTAAGCGATGGTGCTTCGAGATGCTCTTCCTTTTCCTTTTTTACTTTCTTTTTCTTCTCGTCCTCGGTTTGGTTCGTCGAAGCCCTTTGCTGTTCGTTTGATTCCGACGCACGGCATTGACCATCACAAGTCTCCATGTGCTGTGAAATACGACAGCAGTTCACTTCCTACCTTTTCGCTTTCGTCTTTCTTACTTCAACAGTACGGATAATGACATATTCAGAGCCCAGTCGATTGGTAGCTGCCTGGTAAAGACGTCTTTTCTTAGCAATCCTGCCAAGCACATGGCCGAGCCTATCGCGTTCTTCCATTCACGAATTTTCGATTCCGTTGACGATGAATTCAACAGCGACGAGCCGCGACTGCTCCCTTCAAGACTGTTCTGACAGATGCGACCCTGCTGCCTTGGACGGTAAAAATAGACAAGCGTGCATACAAAAATAAACTCAAAGCAAACGTATAAGCTCTGAATTCGTCGGTGAATAAACGCCGTAATATGGATTACTGTTTTTAACTTTAAAAGTAGAATCCTTAAGTTCTCAGAAATAGACTTAATGTACAATAAGACAGGTACCTATGGTCAAGCAAATCAAGAACAACACTTCTATCCACGCGCCAGATGCATTAAATTGTTATGAAGTGTATATGGTAACAAACACAAAATAGCGAGGGATGATGCCAAAGGAAAAGAATAAACATTCAGTCAACCTTTGGCTACTACACAGCATCACACCCTCTCGTCACACTCTGTCTTCCCCCTTGGTATCTCGCGCCGCCTCGGGCGCGTCCTCGGCCAACCCCTCAACGTTGTCATCGGCCGCCTTTGCAGCCACCTCGATGTCCGTTTTGGCTGGTGATACCTCGGCGCCGGCTGTCGTCGACGGGCCCTTTTTGACCCGAATGTCTTTCCAGCCGAGACCGAATGTCGAGAAAAAGGTCAGCACAGACAGAGCAGCGGCAAAGTAAAAGACGCGGTCGACGCTGTTGGCGTAGGCCAGGATGACACCGGGGACGCTGGCGACGGGGACGACGGCCCGGAAGGCCGTGGCACCGGCGGCAATGACGGCCTCTGGGTTGACGCCGGGCGCGTGCTGCCGCAGCTGCGACTTGAGGCTGTTGTCAAAGACGGTGTTAGCGATGGTCAGGAGGACGGCGCCGCCGACGTTTTGGCCGAAACTGAAGAGGCCGACGGCGACGCTAATCTGGTTGGGCTGGACGGCGTGCTGAATGGCGAGAATTGGTGCCTGAAACACCATGCCGCGGCCGGCGCCGGCCAAGATCTGGAACCCGATCCAGTGGCCTGTCGGCGTGGTGGGCGAGAGGGTCGACAGCAGCCCCGTGCCGATGCTGTTGAGGATGGTGCCGGCGAAGGCCCAGGGCAGGTAGTAGCCCATTTTGCTGATGGCGGTGCTGGAGGCGACGGCGAAGAACAGCTGGCTCAGGATGTTGGGCAAGATGTTGACGCCACTCAAAACTGGCGAAGCATCGCGGGCGGTCTGAAAATAGATTGCGATAAAGAAGGCGTTCATAATGATGGTGCCCATGAGCGTGAAGCTCGCAAAGGAGCCCGAGTAGACGGTGCGCTCGCGCGCAATGGGCGTGGGGACGAGGGCGGCCTCGCCGTTGCGGTTGGGGATGTCGTCGGAACCAAGCCAGTGGCTCATCCGGTAGTTCCAGGCGCCCCAGAGGAGGGCCGTGACACCGGCGCCAACAAACAGTCCGATAATAACTGAGGAGTTCCAGGGGTGCGCGACCGTGCCGCCCCACTGCAGAGCGAGAAGAAGCTGGATGGTGGCGCCGGAGAAGACGAAGAAGCCAACGAGGTCCATGCGGTGCAAGAGCACGAGGCGCAGCTGGCGCCTGATGGCCTCCTTGCTCTGGCCGCGCCATGGCATCTTTTCCGTCTGCTCTGGGATGTGGATGAGAAGAATGAGCGAGGCCACGACGGCGCCGACTGGCAGGTTAACGTAGAAGCACCATCTCCATGTGGCGAATTCCGTGAAAACGCCGCCGAGGAGCGGTCCGGCCACGACACCGAGCTGAGCGACTATGTGTGTGTATGTGTGAGAGGTGACGGACTATTTATAAGAGGAGAGATGAGGGAGAGAGAGAAGGACTTGGACACTCACTGCCGAGAACGATGCCCGTCAAGACTGATAATGGACGTTAGTTGGGTGCAAAACCAGGGGACAGCAGAGGACGACAAGGGCAGCGTGACTTACACGCTCTGCGGGCCAAGGGCGCCAGGCCGGCCAAGATGGTCAGGGTGCCGTTCTGAATACCGGCTCCGCCCAGGCCGGCCACCGCCCGGCCGACGATCAGCATCGTCGACGACTGGGCCACGCCGCAGATGAGCGAGCCGAGTTCAAAGATGAAAAGGTAGATGAGGAAGGCCCACTGCGCAGCGTTAGAGCTGAAACAAACAGAAACGGACAGAGGGGAGGACGACAGGACGAGGGCTCGGGCTCGGGCTCGGAATCGGGCTCACCTTGGTCTTAAAGTACGTGTAGATTTTGCCAGACAAGGGCTGCATCGGAGCGCTGCCCTTTTTGTTAGACGACAGACAGGCAGACCGAGAAACGCATACGGGGGACAGACGTGACTCACCAGGCCAACTGGTAGGCGGCACCATACCAGCCCACGTCGTTGAGCGAGTGGAACTCGTTGGTGATGCGCGGGATCGCCGTTGCCACAATGGACATGTCGAGCATCATGATAAAGAAGGCCAGCGACAGGGCCAAGACAACCAGCCACAGCTTGACGCCGGTGACATACTTTGGCTCGGCGTTGGAGCCGTGTGTAGTTGACGGCGCGAGTGCGGCGGGCCCTTCCTGTCCATCGGGCACGGCAAGGTGGTTCTTCTTTTCGTCCGCCGTGGTGGCCGCGACAGCATCGCCTTCTGTCGACGGCGTGGGCGTGGCCGTCCGCTCGTCCGTGTCCGTCATGACGAGATGTGGGAGAAACAGAATTCAAATGCAGTCGAAACGAAGAAAGTAGTGCTGAGCGCAGATTTAGCTTGCTCTTTGGTGTCTTTGATCGTTTCTTTTTAATTTTATTTTGCTTTGGCTATTGGATTGTCTCCATTTTCCCAGTCCGTGTCGGATCGTGGCTCGAGGCGATGGTGTAAACAACAACGACAGCACAAGACGCAACGAAACGATGCGTGTAAGTCGCGCTCTCTTATATCAGGCTCTATTGCGTTTTGCTGAAAAATAATGACACTTCCTCCTGGGATCTTTCCAGTTTATTTCTAAGCAAAACCGGCAACGGGATTGGGATGCGATATCCGTTGTCCTTCCTATGTGATATGGCAGAAGCGACGATCCGAAAAAAGAAAGAACGGCAACAGAGGAAGCCCACCAACAGGAAGAGAGCAAGAGTGCACTCGAACTGTATTACTCCAGAGACCATACGTCGTACAGTGTCAGTGGTGCCTTCCATGGTTGGGTGGTCTGCTTTGTCATTCCTTCCCGCGCCCTTATCGTACGCTTGCTGTATTGCAAAGCGCGCGGCCTGCCTCGGCTCGGGGTCTGAACTCCGACCGTTCCCATCGTTGTCTGCCTCTTTCCTTTCCCTGAACCTCTGAAACCCGGTCTACTTCCACGAACAATATCCACCTACAAATACAGAACAATCCAAGCACACGCTGGTCACTAACACGGACAGCAACATCGCCAATACAAGGACTGTGGCGCAATTCGCTGCAGCTGCCTTTCAAAGGTATAAATCCGTCGTGGGCTGTAACATCTATGTGTCGCTTATACGAGAGGACACAATTCAACAACGTAACAACAGTTCAACGCAGGTCACACACAGCCCTGCTAGCAACTGTCTGGCCCCCAGTTCTACAGAGTGTAGAGACGATTGCGCGCTGTACCGAAATGTCCACATGGGGACTGTATCTTGAGTTTATGTTGCCTGACCATTTTGATACTTTTTGACCCATCTATGCCGTATGTTCGCTCTGTTATGCTATTACCCGTTTTGTCCATTATCCGTCATTGCATGCCCATACCGTTTCCATGTCCAGTGTTCCTGTATTCCGTAAGCATCATCCCTGACTTAGTACACCTCCTGCTTTCATTATCGGGCTCCGGCCCTACAGCTGCTGCTGCGGCATGCTGTCCACAAAGAGGTCCCACAGCATGTAGTCCTCGGGAATGCCCATGGCGGCCGACAGGTCCGTGAAGAACACATCGTTGGACGCCATCAACAGCGGGTCCTGCGTGGGCTCGCCCATGGCCATGTCGGTGGCCGAAGGCGCTGGGGCCGCGGCCACCGATGACAGCGGCCACGCCGTGCCGTCAGCCGACGGCGGCGGCGGCGCGTCCAGTGTCATGGACCCGGCGGCGGCGGCGGGCGTTGTCATGCCGGGTACCGCAGCTGGTAGTGCGGTACCATGGGCCTGCTGGGCCTGCTGAGTCTGCTGTGCCTGCTCCCGGGTCTGGTCCTGCCGGTCACCCACAATGACGGCTGCCGCCGCGGTCGCGGCGGCCGCCTTAGACTTGTCCAAGTGGTCCGGCCGGCCCATGTCCGACGCCCACAGCTCGCGCACCGAGGTAAGCATCGTGGCCGCTCGGTTGAAGACGTCGTAGGATTCCATGCCTGTCACGGTCGAGGAAGGACCGACACGCGGCGCGTCACGCAGCTTGCCAATGAACCCGTCGAGCATGTCGAGGACGTGCAGGCGGTCGCGCACGGCTGCGCGGTCCCAGTTGGGCTCGTCCATCACCGACAATCCATACAACAAGACGACGCAGTGCGTAAAGTGCGCAAAAAAGGCAAACGGCAGGGCCGCGTACGAGCCACTGGTGATTTGGCGGAAGAAGGACCAGAAGGCGGCCACGGACTCGACACAGTGCTCCAGCGCGGCTACCCGGGCAACGTTGACAGTCGATGGCAACACACTTGCAGCACTCGCAGTGCTTGCAGTGCTCGCAGTACTCGGCGCCTTTTCCTTATCGCCCTGCAACGGCTGCGTGGCCGGCTTGGAGCGCGCGCGCAGCGAGACAACGGCAATGGTCGCCATCGACGTGACCGGCGCCACGACGGGTAGCACGACACCCGCGCTCACCATCATCTCCGACGCCAACAGTGCATCCTGCACGCCCTCGTAGTGCCGCGCCTCGGACGGGATGTTTTCGCGGATCTCGTTGATCTTGGCCCGCACCACGCGCGCCACATACGCCGGCAGCAACCCGCAGTCAGCCATCGTCGTCTGGTAGGCATCGCTTGTTGGGTCCATGAAGCAGTTTGGGTCGTTGGTCTGCCACTCGCCCATATGGATGTGGTCGGCGACGCGCTGCAGACGCACCTGTGTGACCAGCACGTGGTCGAGGGGCGTCTCTGCTTGGGCCTCGAGCTCGTACAGGTGCTCTTCCAGGCGCGGCGTCCAGCGCAGCGGCTCACATCGCTTGAGCGCAATCGAGAACTTGGAGGTCAGCACGTAGCACGCCAGTGCCGCGCGGCGCTCGTCGAGCAGCGGCGGCACGGGCGGCGGGTCGTCGGCAGCGAGAGACTGTTGGTAGTGGTCGCGCACCAGCCGGGCAATGAGCGACTTGCAGGGACTGGCTTGCTTGTGCAGCCCCAGATCGTACACCAGGGACACGGCCAGCTGCGACATAACAGACAGCGTGGGCCGGTCGCGCTTCGATGTGTAGTGCACCCATGTCATGAACGCCAGCAGGCCCTGCAGCAAGTCGAGGCTCTTGTCGCTCTCAAACACGATGCGGTGCGCAAACAGTGCGCGCAGGTGGGTGCTGCGGCCGAGTTGGGTGTGCGTCGGCACGCGCTGGCACGTAATTGACAGGATGGCGAGCCACAGTACAGGCCGTGTCCGCCGGAGCTGTGCTGCCGTCAGATCGGGCGACAGGTGCACGAATGGGAAGTAGGGAAGCATGGTTGTGCGGAACGTGACAAGGCTCTGTTCGGCCTCAGCAGCGGTCGGCTCGAGGGAGGCGTCGAGGTTGAGGGTGTCTCGCGCCGGGAGGCTCCCGTCGTCCTCCTTTGCGTTGGTAGGTATCTCGCGTGGCCGCGCTGTGTCGTTAAAACAGCCAAAGCTCCAGCCGGTTGTATGTGAGCCCGTTGTCGGATGGGCCTGTGCCTCTGCCTGTGACTGTGGCTGATGTTGTGGCCGTTGTGGTTGTTGCGATGGTGGTGCCTGTCGGCTGTCCTCTGGTAGGGTCCTCTTTTGCTGCTGGTATCCGCGAGTAGACGTTGTTGACGATGCCGAGGACTCGGGCGTGCGTGGCAAATGGGCCCCTGCACACTTGGCAGCGAGCATGCTGCCTGTCCGATCTTCATATGACGTGTCTCCGCTGTGAATCGAAACGGACGACGCCCTTGTCTCTGTCGTTGGTGGTGCAATCGACGACGACGGGCCGCCTTGCCGCGGCGGCGGCCTGCCTTGATGTCGTGGCACGATGCCTGCGCCAAAGTCTGGTCCGCCGGCACCCAACGGCCGGAACTCGTCGGGTTCTGTGGACGGAATGCCGCTGGGTATCGTGTAGACGCGCCTTGGTTCCGCAGAAGCTGCGCTGCTGTTCTGATTGCTGGTGCTGTAGGCGACGCTCTCGGGGCTGGCTTGGCTGCCTTCCAAGCTCTGGACGCTTCCTCTCCGGGCACTGGCGTCGGTGGCCGCTTTGGCACGGCTGTTGTTCTGTGCGGTCAGCAGGGACACAAGCCCGTCCAGTTTCTGCTCCAGTTGTGCCGTGCGCGACAGCGTCGAGGACGACGACCGTTTGGCCGCCCCCGACGAGGCCGCCTTGCGCCGCACGGGAATCGACGGCCGGCAGTCCTTTTTCAGTCGGTGGCAGCGTTCACAGTCAGAGCTGTCGGTGCGGTAGATGCAACGGCACTTGGCCCGCGAGCAGTTGGCACAGGCACGGCCGTACGGGGCCGGGATTCCAGGGGGTGTGATAATGTCGGCCGCCATGGCCAGCGACACCTCCATCAAGGTGTATGAAGCTATCGGCACTGCCACACAACGCAGTCTACCCAATGCCGCTGCACGATGTTTTGCTTCGGCTCCGGGCCCGTGTCGTGCAATGTTTTTTTTATTTTATTTTTCAGATGTGTATTGGTGTATTGTACCACTAAGACGGTGTACTTGCCGGACCTGCCAATCCCGGACGGTTCAGTGTGATCGGGATACAGGGACGAGTGAAGTGGAAGAACAACAACAAGAGTAAAATGGAGATCGGACTGGAGTATTGTGAAAGGAAAGGAAACCCGAACCAGAAAGGAGCAAATGGGAGAAGAGCTTTACACATAAGAAGCACACCCAACAAAAAAGGAAAGAACGATTTGGCTGCTGCAGTCTGTTACACGGGAACGGGAGCTGTCATTCTGTTAAGGAGTTGGAATGCCGTCGGGATTGGTAAAACCCGTTCAGGCAAATTCCGACCGACGCTAGTTCGTAAGGTTTGGTAAGCAGGACTATGTGGAACTGTTGGGTGGCGTTCGCTGGAATATGGCACCGATCTGACACAGTGGGCCAACATAACGCAACGGTAAGGCTGTCGAACGGGATTCAGAGTCAGGCTGAGAAAAGCTGTGAATGGTGGAAGAAACGTAGGGATGCCACCAACAATTTGATTGCTTCGCGTGTTCATATAGGCAGGGCTCAGTTACCTGCCCGTGTCCCATTTCGGCCTCGCTAAACCCAATTGAACAGCCGGGGTACGGAGTAGACATTGGTAATATAAAGGATGACAAACAAAGCCTGTGGTGTTCGGACACTTTTCATGGAGCAAGAAGCGTGAACATAGTTTATGCCTTTTATTTCTGATTCTAGCGGAAACGAGAAGCCCAAACAAAAAAAAGCCGAGATACGGAGCAGAATAGGGCCCGTGAAAGAATGCAAAAAATTAAGACATTTCCAAAAACCCTATACGACCTCCCAAGTTTTAAAGAATAAAAGCAGAGAGTATTGCGTTAGTTCTAG